AAGTCGCTTTTCTGTGTAGCCAGCGGTTGGGGGCGACCTTTTCTGGGAACCTCACAGGGTCCATCAGGCACACAGAACAGCAAGATGCTTCCTGCACTGACAGTCTCCTCACTTCTTGGACATTCGAAACTTCACTTTAAAGAGATGGAAAAAGGACAATCAAAACTACATTGGAACAGCTCTTCAGAGCACACAAGGCATAGGAATCTGATCCGGGCACCTTGAAAAGTTACTGGAGAAGGAAACCACCAACAAAATGACAAGGCAACCTACTGAATGGGAAGAGATATTTGCAAATGACATATCCGACAAGGGGCTAATATCCAAAATATGTAAGGAACTTCTACAAATCAACCCTAAAATAAAAAACCAAAAACAAAGAATCCAGTTAAAAATGGGCAGAGGACCTGAATAAACATTTTTTCAAAGAAGACATGCAGATGGCCAACAGACACATGAAAAGATGCTCAGCATCACTCAGCATCAGGGAAATACAAATCAAAACCTCTATGCGATACCACCTCACACCAGTCAGAATGGCTAAAATTAACAAGTCAGGAAACGACAGATGTTGGCGGGGATGCGGAGAAAGGGGAACCCTCCTACACTGTCGGTGGGAATGCAAGCTGGTGCAGCCACTCTGGAAAACAGTGTGGAGGTTCCTCAAAAAGTTGAAAATAGAGCTACCATATGATCCAGTAAACCCAATGAAAATGAAAACACTAATTCAAAAGATATGCACCCGATGTTTATAGCAGCAATGTCCACAATAGCCGAGATATGGAAGCAGCCCAGATGTCCATCGACAGATGATTGGATAAAGAAGATGTGGTGTATATACAATGGACTATTACTCAGCCATAAAAAAGAAAGAAATCTTGCCATTTGCAACAACACGGATGGAGCTAGAGGGTATTATATGGAGTTAAATAAGTCAGAAAGACAAATACCATATGATTTCACTCATATGTGGAATTGAAGAAAAAAACAAAGAAAAAAGTGACAAAACAAGAAACAGACTCTTAGCTCTAGAGAACACACTGCTGTTCACTAGCAGGGAGGTGGTGGGGGATGGGAGACAGGTGAGGGGGATTAAAAGTACACTTATCATCATGAGTACTGAGGCACGCACAGAACTGTTGAATGTTGTACACCTGAAACTAATATCTAATATAACAGTATAGGTTAATCATACTTCAATTTTAAGAAATGTTATTGGAGGAGCAAAAGACAGGAGTCCGCCCGCGAGGCGCTTCAGACCTTGGGGAAGCCAGAAGAAGGTGCGGGCAGCCCCTGGAAGCCCATCCTAGCAATAAAATGCATGGAACCAGCCACCTGCAGGTGCCGCCAGCAGGAAGGTAGGTCCAGCACGTAGGTCCCCAGCGGAATAGCGGCTTGACACTCCGCTGACCGCCAGCATGCTGCAGAGCTAGCCGGAGGGCGGACGGCGAAGCTCATCCCCTGACCTGAGCACTGGACGTCTGCAGAAGGAAAGACCCTAGGCCCACCACTCCATCAAGGTCCCTCTCAGCCGTCAGCTCTGCTCACGCCTTTCTGGACCCCTGTGCCTGGATGGGAGCCCTCGGCCCACGCCCAGGTCAGAGCCCCCCTTCCCAGCCAGGCAGGTGATGCTTGGCTGCATCTTGCTGCTGGTCCTGCAAGAACAGGGCTCAAAGGCTCCTGCTCCGAAAGTAGTGCTCACCGAGGCGCCACAGAGCCTGCAGACCCCGGGACCCCTGTTCTCACCAGCCTCGCTCCCTGCTCGCGTGCCTTCAGTCGGAGCTCAGCCCCCGTGCCCACCAGCATCCATCTGAAGGCGGGACTTGATAAAACCTTCCCTTGGTGGTGGGGGGCCAAGGGCGCCAGGGACACTACCAGTCCCGTGCCCACACCTGCTACTGTTCGAGGGACAGATGCAAATGAAGAAGTCGGGCTCATCCAAGACATACAGAATTTACCCAAATTCACACTCCTGTGGAAAACCGTCGCCCTCTGGGTTACAGCACGAGTGTGGAAGGTGTTGATGACAAGGTGAAGTGGTCTGCAGATGGCCCCAAAAAGGCATGCCGTGGCCTGCCCCAGAGCCTGCGCCTGGGGCCATGCAGCTGTGACACGAAGGATCTGAGATCAGGGTGGCCCTGAATCCAGTGACAGGCGTCTTTGGAGGAGGCAGACACGGGAGGGACGCCTGCAGCCCCCACAGGCTGGAGGAGGAAGGAAGGACCCTCCACTGGAGCCATGGGAGGGAGACAAGCCCTCACCACCTTGACCTCCGGCTGCTGTCTCCAGAGGGGACAGATTTCTGTGGTTCTAAGCCAGACCGCTGGTGGTCACTGGTTCTGGCCACCCAAGGACACCCATACACCATGTGCCTGGGACACATGCCCACTCTCTCTGGACCTCTGTCCCCAGGTCACAAAGGACAGGACAGCCTCCAACCCCAAGCCAACCCCAGGATGGACTACACAGCTCCCAGCAGAGGTGAGGCACCTCACCCAGCAGCCTGGGTTCCTGCAGGGGCCCAGCCGGGGGAGACCCCCCGCAGCACACACGTCCCAGGCCCAGCAGGCCCAACGGAGGGCCCCTCGCCACCTGCCAGGCCCGAATCGTCACACCCGTATGGCGCCCAGCACTATGGGTTTCGGGAGCCGCCACGGCAGCAGGCCCCCCACAGGACAGAGGAGACAGGAGCCAACACCTCGGTGTTGTTCCGCGCAGGTTTCCAGAGTCTGGGATGCAGGCCTGTTTCCATATGAATAGGTGTTACTGCCCGTGAGTGTGATTTTTTTTAAAAAAACTGTCTATTTGTCTTTTGCATCTTTATTGAGACCTGTTCTTATCTGTAGCACAATATCCGGACACCTGGCGGGAAAGTGAAGCTCCATCCCATCCCGAAATGAACCACGTGCCCCCCTCATGGATAACCACATGAGGATGCAGCTAGTGTCTGCAGCGACCAGGGAAATGATAATTAGTAATGATGATGATGATGAAAGAACAGGCACCGTTTCTGAGCACTGACGAAACACGGGGCAGCATGCTAAGCATTTCAGATACATTAATGCATTTAATCCTCACGAAAGCACCGTCAGATGGAAATTAAGAGGATTACCTTATAAATCAGAAAGATGGGCCCATGCAATTCACACCAGATCTCTCTGTCTCCAACGCCCATGAAGGGCGCTGCCACCCAGCCTGCCTCCTCCAGCAGAGAAGGGACACGTCCACCATGGGGCCAGGTGGGAGGGAGGAAGACACCAAGAAAACCACATTCCTGGGCCACACTGCCTTAGTCATTGCCGATGAGCTGCTTTAATAAGGACACAGGTCACACTAGGAAAATTCAACAAGTGTGCACATGCACGGGTGTATACCACACGTGTGCCTGCATCTCTCTGTGTGTACACACGTGTGCACGTGCGTGTGTGGGTGTGTACTGCACATGTGTGCCTGCATCTCTGAGTGTGTACACATGTGTGCACGTGCGTGTGTGGGTGTGTACCGCACATGTGTGCCTGCATCTGTGTGTGTGCACATGCATGTGTGGGTGTATACCACACGCGTGTGCCTGCATCTCTGAGTGTGTGTACGCGTGCATGGGTGTGTACCACGCATGTGTGCCTGCATCTCTGAGTGTGTACACATGTGTGCACGTGTGGGGGGTGTGTACCACACACGTGTGCCTGCATCTGTGTGTGTGCACATGTGTGTGCACATGCATGTGTGGGTGTGTACCACACGCATGTGCCTGCATCTCTGAGTGTGTGTATGCGTGCATGGGTGTGTACCACGCATGTGTGCCTGCATCTGTGTGTGCACATGTGTGTGCACATGCATGTGTGGGTGTGTACCACACGCATGTGCCTGCATCTCTGAGTGTGTACACGCATGCATGGGTGTGTACCACGCATGTGTGCCTGCATCTCTGAGTGTGTACACATGTGTGCACGTGCGTGTGTGGGTGTGTACCGCACACGTGTGCCTGCATCTGTGTGTGCACATGTGTGTGCACATGCATGTGTGGGTGTGTACCACACGCATGTGCCTGCATCTCTGAGTGTGTGTACACGTGCATGGGTGTGTACCACGCATGTGTGCCTGCATCTCTGAGAGTGTGTGCACACGTGTGCGTGTACATGTGCATGGGTGTGTACGACGCATGTGTGCCTGCATCTCTGAGTGCATGTGTACATGTGCATTATCTCTGGCTGCACTGTGTGCATGTGTAAACCAGTGTGCATGTGTGTCTGTGAGTGCACATGTGCACATACGTGTGTGCACTGTGCCTGCATCTCATGAGTGCACTTGTGAGTGCCTGTGCATGTGTGCAGAAAGTAAGGGGGGAGACTGTGGGGTGAGCACAGGGAACAGCTCGGCCAGGAAGTACTTGAGACTGTGGGGTATTTTTTTTTAAATCTTTTTTTTTAATTTTTTAATTTATTTATTTGAGAGAGAGAGAGAGAGAGAGAGAAACAGCATGAGAGGGGATAGGGTCAGAGGGAGAAGCAAGCTCCCCGCTGAGCCGGGAGCCCGATGTGGGACTCGATCCCAGGACTCCGGGATCATGACCTAAGCCGAAGGCAGTCGCTTAACCAACTGAGCCACCCAGGCGCCCGACTGTGGGGTATTTTTACCTTGGTTCTCCCACACTGAGAAGCCAGGGAGCCGAGTGTCCGGGGTGTGCAAGCCCCCTGCTGCTCAGGATTCTCTCACACAAGTGCTCCCCGAACGAGAGCTGCAGGCTGGCCCCTCCACGAGGCAGGGGAGGGCAAGAGTGGCTGTGGCCTCCCACGGGCAGGCTCTGCTCAGGCGCGGGGCCAGGCCAGGGCTCCCCACTCAGAACCAAGGCCTGCCATGGGTCTCCATAGGGCCGTGGGTTTTCGGGACAGTGCACACGGTGGCCTCCGGATGCCGCACATGGGGACATGGCTCGGAGGAGGGGGGAGGCCAGGATGCCACCGGCTCAGCCGTCAAAGAGGCCTGGTGCTTGTGTCTTTCAGGAATTCGCAGACTCCGTGTCCCAGCTGGTCACGCAGAAGTTCCACGAGCTGACTGTGGGCCTGGCGTCCGCGCACGCCCGCCACAAAGCACTGGCAGGAATCGTCATGACCACAGGTAATGCCTCTCATTTTCCCTGTGGGATCCCATCCGCAAGGACAGGAGATTTAGTGTCTGCCTGACCTTGGGAACCAGACGAGTCTCTCTTCCACACGAAGATGTGAAAAAGAAAAACAACAATAGGACCCAGAGAGCTCAGTGCCGATTCTAGATGATCAGCAAAAGCATGCTGACACCTCCTCAGACCGGCTCTGCCCGCATGCCTCGACTCCCACAAAGAAGGGCCGCGTGAGGACCTGGCCCGTGTCTTCCCTGTTAGGCTCCCCGCCTCGTGGTTGAGAACACCGTGCACTGTTGATGTTGGTACAGCTGGAACCCAAGGTCAGGCCAGGCCACAGATTAGTCGCCTCAGGCAGGGGTGAGGAGGCTGCCTGCGTGCACCTCGCACTTCCCCGCGGCACCTGCATTTCCTCCGTGCACAGGGGGCGGCCTGTGGCAGGGAGTCTGAGCCCCCACTGGGGTGCAAACCACCCCCTGAGCCCCATCACGGGAGACGGTGGGCACTCCTTCCGCCAAGCGGTTCACAGACGTGGAACCCCATCCCACACATGGGGCAGGATGGGAGGGGGACGTCCAGACCACAGGGAAGGTTGTGGCCTCGGACAGCCAGGGTGGGAGACACAAGGGTTAACTTCCAGCAATCAGTTTTTGGTGAAAACATCTATTAATGGTAACTAACCAGTTGGTCATTTGAACTGTGTACTCTTTCTGATTCCAGAGTTGGGCATGAGTTGGTCATGACCTACTCAAAATGATGCTTGCAGAAATAACTGGCTTTGGGTTAAGTTTCACAAAGAGGATTTGCGTGTGTAGACAAAGACCATCTACATGATGACCAAACATATGTATGTTGAAAATCAGTTAAAAACCAGAGAGTCGGCATATTTTTCCTACCATTCTAGCCCTGAGGGCCCCTCAGGTTCTGCCAAGCGCAGGACGCTGGGGGAGGGGCAGAGCCACTCAGGACCCCAGGGCTTTAGCGCAAGGGGATATATTGCTCAACCTTTCCATTATGGGCATCTTAGTAAAACAGAATGAAAAATGCCTCCCCTGCTGTAATTGGGGAAGGAGAATGGGGCGTATAAAGTGCTCTGAAAGGTAACGATGACTTTATGAGGACAATGTGCTAAGGCAAAGGCAATTCTGTTTCGTCAGTGACACCACTGTATCCGGGGCCGGCATTCTGCCCAAGCTGCCGACACTTGCCCTTCCATATATTCAAATGTCTGCCTCCGTGTAGAAAGTGAAATATTCTAAATTGAGGGCTAAGGGTCCACCTCAGTCAAGAGCATTCCCGCTGGACCTGGCATTCCTTTCTCCGGCAGCCAGCAGCCGTGGACCGGATGCATCTACATGTGGGGCACCATTCTGCACACCCAAGGGGGTGACAAGAAAAGACACAGCCTCCACTTCAGGATACGGTCTAGGGAACCGTGACAGATGGTGCTGGCCAAGGACAATTGCTTGGGTTTGACTCCCAGCTCTACCTGCAACTAGCCATGTGACTTTAGGTCAATCTGCCTCTTGGCAACTCAGAGGGAGGGAAGGATGGAAGGAAGGAAGGAAGGAAGGAAGGAAGGAAGGAAGGAAGGAAGGAAGGAAGGAAGGAAGGAAGGAAGGAAGGAAGGGAGGGAGGGAGGGAGGGAGGAAGGAAGGAAGAGGAGGAGGAGGGAGAGAGGAAGGGAGGAAGGGAGGAGGGAAGAAAGGATACAAGGAAGGAAGAAGAAGGGAGGAAAGAGGGAAGGAAGGAAGAGAAGAAGGAAGAGATGAAGGAAGGAGGGAGGGGAGGAGGAGGGAGAGAGGAAGGGAGAGAGGGAGGGAGGAAGGAAGGGAGGGAGGGAGGAAGGAAGGAAGGAAGAGAGGAAGGAAGAAGGAAGGAAGAGGAGGAGGAGGGAGAAAGGAAAGGAGGAAGGAAGGGAGGAGCATAGAAGGTGAAAGGGAGGGACCTGTGTCTCACCTCCATTGGGCTCTATTCCCAACCCCAGCGCTTAGGTCGCTATGGTCTGCTGAGTAGTTTTTCCAGGATTTCCCAGCTCTGGAGCTGATTGTCCAATATCTTCCCACTTTTCTGGAAAACTCAATTCCAGGAAGTCTTGAAAGCTACTCTCAGACCTCCCTTGGAAAACAGTAACATTTTACAAAGACTCATGGGAAAATGGCGAGTGAATACGCTGGTTTTTGTGCAGGCAATTTACCTACGTGAACTGAATTTATTCTATGAAGTGAGACTGTACACGAATTAGTGACTATAAACACTGAGGAATAAAGTGCTGAAACTTGCCTTCTTGTTATAAAGAGAAAGTTTCATAAACACACTGATTAACAAGAGATTAGGGAGATGTGTGCAAAATCACTGGTAGAAATATTTTGTAAAAACCATTTACTTAAAGTTGCTGTGACACCTGACCTTCCTTCTAGCTCAGGTGTTTAAGCAAATGCGCAGGAACCTCCAAGAGGGAAGGATGCTCTTACTTACTTACAAAGTTACAAACGTGTGTGGATTCTGAAGGAAAACCTGATTGCGATGCCTCCCATTTCCAGGTGGGACACCAGCTCGTCCACATCACTCAGCGCCTGCAGGTGCTTTCCCCTGATGAGGCCGTAGGACAAATCGGTAGCAGAGACATTTGCTTACGGATAGAACAGTTCTTACTGTTACCCAAATAGCGCAGTATCTGGTAAAAACTCAAGCAGAAGGGAGCTCGGGAAGGGACACGGCGTTCTCCTACCGGCCCGGTAGTGAAGCTGGCACTGATCACTTTCCTTTTGGGTCCTCGTGACTCCAAACACTATATTTGTTCTGTATTTCCATTTTTTTCAATTCTGAATATTGATTTGCGCTGGTAAAATCTGACGCTTTTTGCTTTTTCATGATCGTGTTTGTAACATTCATGGGTTCAGGTAACATGCTTACACTTCTCTTCCTTATGCTGTCAAGCGGAGAGCGCGCCGTCGGCCCCCTGGCCGGCCTGGCGAGCCGCCTCGTCTCACTACGCGCATATTTTTGTGTTACGGTAACTAGCGCTTACAGCCTCTTCTATGCCGTACTTCAGCCTTCCATCCTCTGTCCGGTGAGCCTAAATGTTGGAAAGCATTACACGGCCTCGCGCGGTCAGGACGCGGTAGGGGCCACTGCCGAGCGCAGGCTGAGCCGCGGTTCCTGTGCTGTCCCTGCACCATGTCCCTACAGCGCCAGGGGCCGCGCTCGTACATTCTCACTCCTGCCACCACTCACTCAAAGCCGCCTCACATTTAGGGTTGACCCACATTTGTTGCTAGACCTCCTCAGAGAGCCTCTGAAGTCTTTTGTGTGCTTTCCGGGTGCTCTGCTTTCTCTTCTTTCACTGAAAGGAAGGAAGTGCTTCTGGCACGCCTGCTGGCCAACGAGTCCCCATGTCTGCGGACAGGCCCACGCCCTTCCCTGGGCCCCAGCCGCACCCCAGCACCAGCCTCTCCGCTTTCTCCTCCCTTCTCCCAGCCTGACAGATGCAACCTCAAGAAACACCGTCAAAACGTGTGGGGACAGAAACCGGGCATGCTCGCTCACAGGCCGCATGCCGACCACACTCTCAAGCTCCTGCAGCAGCTTTGCTTGGGGAGAATTCTGCGCTTGACATTATTTTCCCTGCACATCTTGGGGGGGATTTTTCTATTATCTCTTACCTAATGTTTCTAACCAGATACATCTGGCTGACGTCTCTGCCGGATCGCCCTGCCCTGCCTACGGAGGGGAAAGGCCCTTTTTTGTAAACTGAATGTTCTATAATTTCATAAGAATGTGTGTAGGCGTGAGCCACGCACCTGCTCTGATTTATTTAAGCTGTTTATTTCTGTACTTTTTCTCATATTATTTCTTTGATAAATTCCTTCCTTTACACACATTTTCGTCCAATTTTCAGTATTCTGACCGGATCCTCGGTCTCTTCCCATTCCTGGTGCATCTACCCATTTCCTCTGTGTCCTTGGGCCCTTCTGAAACTTCCCTGACAGCTCTTCAAATGCCCGCTGCTTCTTAATTTCTGCAATGTGTATCACTCAAGACATCTCTCTTGTTCTCAGGTTCCTCCTCTCGTTTTATAGATGTGACGCTCCTCACAGGTTCCTGGGGAGCCTCAGCAGCTGAGCCTCCTCTGTTCTCGGACTGTGCTTCCTCTGATCAAGCCGGCTTTGTTTATAGTCAGTCTTTCTCTTTTATCCTGCTTGTGGCTTCCATACTTGTGAATATTCACATTTGTGAGAAAAATACCAACTCTACTCTCGCAGCGCAGCTCCAGTTTCCCCTGTAACTGGGTCTCTCTCCCCAGTGGAAGGCAGGATACATATAAGCACAAGCCTCCTCGTCGACCCAGGTGGGTCGGGGACCAGCCAACAGTCCTTAATTAAAAGTCACCTGGTGAGCCCGCCCTTGGTGGCTGCTGGCTCAGCGCCTGCTTTCTCTGGGCCCGCCCTGCAGGTGCTTGCTCCCTCTCGATGGCACCTCCGTACGATGCCGGGATTTCATCCTGTCCCTCCACACCCTCCGGAATCCTTCCGGCCTGTGGATCCCACAGGAGGAAAAGCAATGTGTTGCTCCCTCTGCCCTCCTCAGCCAGAAACCTGGACATTGTTTAGCCAAGCTGTCAAGCGATGGCTCTGTCTTCTCCTTTGTTAAGAAATCCTGGTGCTTCCATGGGAAAGTGACTCTTGAAGGAGCTATTAATAATGATGATTTTCACTTGATATGCAAATTTATAATGTTGATAGCACTTTTGCATACACTAATCAAGTTAATTGCTACAACCCTGAGAAGTGGGAGATGCAGGAATCTTAATTACAGCTTTTAAGAAATACAGACAAGGAGATGAAGGGGCTAGGTGCCTTTTCTTGAGTCACGGGAAGGCGGGCGGAGCCAGGAGGTGGGCAGTGGACTCCGCAACCCTGCTGAAGGGCCCCTACACACGTGCACGAGGCTTGGTGCTGAGATGCATGCTCTTCACCTCGCTTCTAAGCTTATTAAG